CCCCTCGGCGTCCTGAAGGCCCGGGGTCCCACCCGCACAGCTCACAGCCAACGACCGAGTGAGAGGCTCACCTTCGCTGGAACCGGGTGAAGCCTCGATCCGGGCCAAGTGCCAACACCGGGCCCCACTCGGCAAACTAACGACAAAGGGCCCAGCCCAGCCCTGAGCACACGATGTCCCCGAGGGGCTGCCTGGACCCCGTGGAGGGGCCCCAGCCGTGACCATGAACCTGCGGACGTGCACCTGCGAGGACACACCTTCCGGCCCACCTGCCGGGCCCACTGAGATCGGCTCCTGGGCCGCTGTGCTGCCCTGAGGGCAGCTGGGCAGACGGCCTCCTGTCTCAGGTGCCAGCGACTTTCTGACCTCGGCCCCCAGGGCAGCTGGACTGGTGAAGGCACCAGGACTCACCGGTGGGCTTTCGTGTGGTCAGCTCAGATCTCAGTAAAGTGGTTTTATAGTCTCAGCCCGACTGAGCACCGAAGCTTTCACTCTAAGGAGCTAGAGTCAGGTAACCCCGAAATAACGACCCACACTGCCCCGGACGGAACACGCCCGCGTTCCCCACAGCGGGGACCCAGACCAGGCGGCGAGGGCAGGAGAAAGGGCTTCGCGCCCACAAACCCGACAGCTCGGACGAAACGGGCCATCGCTTCAAAGACGCACGGCCAGGCTCCCGCGGGAAGACCAGGCGACCCGCACGGGCCGAAACCTCCCAACGCCACCCGGAGAGCGCACCTCGGCCCAGAGGGCGGATCCCAGCAACTCCAGCTCGACATTCCGGAAAGCAGAGGGGACAGTCCCCAGCAGGCCGCCCGCCAAAGCCTTTGCCGGTGGGCGGCTCACAGGCACCCAACCTCTCCCCAGCTGCAGAGCCACTGGGGTTCGGGGGGCCCCGGCTGCTCCAACGCGGAGAACCATGTCCACAGAGCACAGAAACCAGCCTCGCAGGGCAGGAGGTAAGACAACGCCCACACACATCCCCTATAATAATCCTACAGAATAAGTCTAATATGCTAAGTGCCCCACCTGTCAACCAGTCGCTATGACACGCACTGACCACCAGGGGGCAGACGCTCCGACTAGGACAGTGGTTCTCAACCTTCCTAACGCCGCGGCCCTTTAATACAGCTCCTCATGGTGTGGTGACCCCCAAACATAAAATTATTTTCGTCGCTACTTCATAACTGTAATGTTGCTACTGTTATGAATCGTCATGTAAATATCTGATATGCAGGATGTATTTTCATTGTTACAAATTGAACATCATTAAAGCATAGTGATTACTCACAAAAACAATATGTAATTATATGTGTTTTCCGATGGTCTTAGGCAACCCCTGTGAAAGGGTCGTTGGACCCCCAAAGGGGTCGCGACCCACAGGTTGAGAACCGCTGGACTAGTAGGTTAGCTTGCTGCTGGGACTGAGACGGGCTGGGCACGCCCTGGAGCCCTCCGGGGGTCCCCCCGCCTGGCCTGCGCCCTCTCGCAATCCGCAATCCGGGACCCCTCGGGGGATGTCGGAGAGCCGGTTTCAGCCCGATCCCCGCAGGCCAGGCTGAGGGACCCCACCGGTGCACGAATCTGTGCACCAGGCCGCTAGCTCCTGATAAAAACTTTCTCTTTTTTTGCCCCAGCTGGTTTGGTTCAGTGGATAGAGTGTCGGCCCGTGGACTGAAGGGAGGGCCCTGGGTTCCATTCTGGGCATGTGCCTCAGCTGGCAACTCTCACACCCATGTCTCTCCCATACCTTCCACTCTCTCCAGAAATCAGTGGGAACATCCTCGGGGGGATCAACAGCAAAAATACATGTTGTGTTCTTTTGGTTAATCCTTGCCCAAGGATATTCCGTCCATGGGTTTTTAGAGATGGAGGGGAGGGAGGAGGAGGAGGAGGAGGAGGTGGAGGAGGAGGAGAGAGAAACAAGGATGTGAGAGTGACAGAGACACATCGACTGGCTGCCTCTATACCCGCCCCGACCGGGGCCGGGATCGACCTGCACCCCAGGTGCGTCCCCTTGACCGGGAATCAAACCCGTGACCTTCAGCACGCGGGCCAGCGCTCTCCCCTGAGCCACACTGGCCAGGGCTCCCGATAAAAACTCCTAAGCAAACGGGGTCACAGGAAACTTGAACGCGGTGAGGGTCATCGGGGAACACCCACGGCCTCACTCTGC